AAGGCTTATGCTCTAATAAATTTGTTAGTCTCTAAGGTGCCACAAGTACTCCTGTTCTTTTTACGGATACAGGCTAACACGGCTGCTACTCTGAAACCTGGATTTACATACTTACAGCTCTTTAGAAATTGTGAAAGAGGGGAGGCGTGTGTATGTGTCACTCACACCCAGGACTTGTCTATACTACAGATGTTTGCTGGCATAGCTATGCTGGCAGAGTCCCATGGTTGGAGACGCAGCGTAAGCCGACAGGATTTCTTCTGCCAGCATAGCTGAACAACAACACAAGCTCTCTTCTATTGGCAGAGGTGCATGTACACCTGGAGGAGAGGGGTTGCTCCCAGTGCAATGCTGTGTCAAAAAAGCTAATCACTATTCCTCGGTCTATACATCCAAGGATAGGAATAGGGAGGTATTTTACCTGTGATTATTATTATTATTTTTTTTTAAACTGTGAGGGTGATTCACCATTAGAACAAACTACCAAGGAGCGTGATGGATTCTCCATCTCTCTTGAAGTCTTCAAGTCAAGACTAGGTGCCCTTCTAGAAGATAATCTTTAGCTAGATGCAAGTTACTGGAATCCATACAGGGCTATGTAGGTGAAACTTAATGGCCTGTGATATACAGGAAGTCAGACGAGATGATTTGATGGTCCTTCTGGTCTTGAACTCTACGAATATTTTGTGATCAGCCTACATCTATCTAGCAACAAAAATGTAATGCTTTTAGAAAGGAGGATTCCTAGCTCTCTCAACTGTCTAAAGCTCCTGTTTCTAGCCCTGATGGGTTGAAAGAGAGCAGATATTTAGACCTGTCACTGGTCCAGGAATGAATGTCATCCTGTGCCTCAGATCTGCGTAACTTTGGGGGTAGACATTCCTCGTTTTGGTTTTGGGGATTGGGCGTGGAGAGAGAGTAAAGGAGAAAATAGTGTTTTTCTAGCAGAGTTAAGTGGGGAAAATGACAACTTGTAATTCTTCCCCCAAGTTTAAGATGTTAGTAGTACTTGTGAGGAAAATATGGGCTAGCATCAGAAGGAAGTTGCAAAATGAATACAATTTGTCAGATAGGTTTTCCTCCTCTGTGTGAGCATCTATATAAATGGTCAAGATTTTCAACAATGGGCGCCTAAACAAGTAGCTGGATCTCAAAAGTGCTGAGCACCCAGCAGCTTCCATGGACTAGAATCAGAAGCTTTATTCCATCAGAAAGCTATGAATCCCCCTTTCCAATGGTCTGAGATCTTTGTTTCTTGACACCATAGATCATGAGAGATCAGACCTTAAAATCACAACATTATTATATCGCCTGTCTTCTATGGGAGCTGCCGAATACTTGGCACACATGAAAATCAGGCTGTTTATTTTGGTGCCTAAATAAGGATGTAGTGGTGAGATTTTCCAAGAGCACCTAACGAAGTACACAAGGATAGCTCAGTGGGGGAGGGATAGCTCAGTGGTTTGAGCATTGGCCTACTAAACTCAGGGTTGGGAGCTCAATCCTTGAGGGGGTTATTTAGGGAACTGGGGTAAAAATCTGTCTGGGGATTGGTCCTGCTTTGAGCTGGGGGTTGGACTAGATGACCTCCTGAGGTCCCTTCCGACCCTGAGATTCTATGATTCTATTGACTTCTGCTTAGGCACATTTGAAAATCCCACCCTCTGAACTGGTGCCTGTTTTTGAAAAACTTGGCTATGTACTTTTTGTTTTGTGACAAAAGCTTTGTATTCCTATAGTGCCCCAGGTGGTCTGAACCTTAGAAGCTCAATTGACTTGCTGAGCGAGAAAGTGAAAGACTTCTTATTGGAGAACAGAATTCAGACCTTTTACCAACAGGAGCTGGAAACAGTTGACGATTTGGTGTCATTGGCCAGTCAGCCTGTGTCCAGGACTGACTCTCAGCAGGTAAGTGCAGTAATTGCTGGCTTTTGATTGCTGAGCAGGAAAATAGTGCTTCATGCTTGCTATCAGATTTGTGCAAGTGGAAATGTTTTGGGTTTTCAACCATTTCTGCACATTTAGGTGCCAATTCCTGACCTTTAGCTATAGGCATGAATTATTGACAATACCTGGGAAGCCCTGTAACTTTAGGCATTTAAAATGGGGCTGGAGAGCAGAGCCGGAAAACTCTATTGTAGAGAACAATATTATGCTAGCTGCAGGGGTGTACTACATAATGTAATAAAGGCTCTGTTCAAACTCTAACTTTCATAGATCTATGAAAACTAGATACACAGTGGAAATAACCGTGTATGAGATCTCTTGAAGGCACTGGTTTCAGAGTGGTAGCCGTGTTAGTCTGTATCAGCAAAAAGAACGAGGAGTCCTTGTGGCACCTTGGAGACTAACACATTTATTTGAGCATAAGCTTTCGTGGGCTAAAGCCCACTTCATCAGATGTATGCAGTGGAAAATACAGTAGTAAGATATATACACCTCTACACCGATATAATGCGACCTGATATAACACGAATTCGGATATAACGCGGTAAAGCAGCGCTCCGGGGGGGCAGGGCTGCACACTCCAGCGGATCAAAGCAAGTTTGATATAACACGGTTTCACCTATAATGCGGTAAGATTCTTTGGCTCCCGAGGACAGCGTTATATCGGGGTAGAGGGATATGTGTGTGTATGTGTATATATATACGTGTGTGTGTGTGTGTGTGTGTGTGTATATATATATATATATAGTAGGTGGGCTATTATCAGCAGGAGGAAAAAAAAAACTTTTGTAGTGATAATCAGGATGGCCCATTTCAAACAGTTGACAAGAAGGTGTGAGTAACAGTAGGGGGGAAATTAACATGGGGAAATAGTTTTTTAGTTTGTGTAATGACTCATCCACTCCCAGTCTTTATTCAAGCCTAATTTAATGGTGTCCAATTTGCAAATTAATTCTAGTTCTGCAGTTTCTCGTTGGAGTCTGGTTTTGAAGCTTTTGTTGTTGAATAATTGCGACTTTTAGGTCTATAATTGAGTGACCAGGGAGGTTGAAGTGTTCTCCGACTTGTTTTTGAATGTTATAATTCTTGACATCTGATTTGTGTCCATTTATTCTTTTGCGTAGAGACTGTCCGCTTTGGCCAATGTACATGGCAGAGGGGCATTGCTGGCACATGATGGCATCTATCACATTGGTAGATGTGCAGGTAAACGAGCCTCTGATAGTGTGGCTGATGTGATTAGGTCCTATGATAGTGTCCCCTGAATAGATATGTGGACAGAGTTGGCAACGGGCTTTGTTGCAAGGATAGGTTCCTGGGATAGTGTTTTTATTATGTGGTGTGTGGTTGCTGGTGAGTATTTACTTCAGGCTGGGGGGCTGTCTGTAAGCGAGGACTGGCCTGTCTCCCAAGATCTGTCAGAGTGAGGGATTGTCCTTCAGGATAGGTTGTAGATCCTTGATGATGCGCT